GACAACGAGAGTAGATATGGTGGAACAACCTGCTGCTGACACCTCCACACATTAGCAGCCTTTAAGGGTCTCCTCTGTGGATTGTAACATGACAACGTTACCTGTGGCACCAGTGCCCAACCTTCCCCCCACCCATCTCCTTTCCCTATCTCGCCCCCACTCTTCTCCGTTGCTCGTCCCCCTGGCTGACATTCTCTTCTCTTACTTTTAATTGCACCCCCGGGGCTCTTTCTGGGTTGCTGTGGAAGTCTTTGGCTCAACGGGCGCGATAGGGTGCTTTGCCGTGTCGCTCATATCTCTCGTTAGGGAAGAGAAAATAAAAACAGAAAGAGAAGGGGGGGGGGGTAGAAAGGGGGGAGAGGAGAGATGTAGGCCTACTCTGAGAGGTCACTCCCAAGTCTAGATTAGGCTAAAATAGCACCCAGGCCTATTGTGTAACAGCACATGTGCACTGGAAAGGCCATTAGCTGGCCAGATCTGATATGTATTGACAAATGCATTTGTGTGACTCTCTGCACCCCTGTCTCTATCTTCGTGGCCCTGTGTTCGATAAAACCAATAGATACATTTAATAGCTAATAGTCCTGATTCAAAATGTTATCCCAAGCAATTCTTTGAGCGTATAATCATGGGGCATTTGAATATTGGCAGCATACACATTAATCTTGCTTACCCAGGAACCATGCACAATGCAGTATCATTGCTCGATGGGCAACTCCACACAATCTGTGACAGGCAATTTAAAGCAATTTACTTTTTTCATTTTTTCATCAAGCACTTTTTTTTAATGCAATTAAATGGCACATGATATGAAGTGAAGACGGGGCAGGCGAGAGAGCGAGACAAAGAGAGAGTGAGCGTGTGTGTAAAGAGGGAGAAAATAAAGGCAGCCTTGTGCTCGTTGTAAACACTGCCTCTTAACTGGGAAAATATAATTATGGTGTCATGTTCTATTACACACCTTCATTATGACGATGGTGCTCCCTGAGAAAGTGAACAGCGACCTTTTCAAAAATCCTCTCCAGCGACAGGGATACATGGAAGATGGCTCTGCAACAGAAACACACTCACTTTTTCCATGTCACCTTCTTTACAAATCGTTTCACTCTTGTTTCTATGTCTTTAAAGGAGCATTCAGGTTTATAGGTGTATGGTTGGTGGTTATGTTCCATTGGTTTAAGTAACATTGCACCACCACGACTGACTTTGCAAGGTTTATTCAAAGGAACAGAATGCCAATGCAGAAATGTCAATAATAATCAGTAATACAACTTTGCCATTAACTACAGTAATTACAAAGGTCAAAGTTGAACCAGGGCTTCAGTCTATGGATGCCTAACAGATTATGTTTCTTCTCCCACTGCTCGTGTTTCATGACCTTCTGTCATCTAACCACTGTTTCTAAGTATTTACTGTTATTATTAATCTAGGTAATAAACATGTTGCCGTGGAAAGCGTACATGAGTATTACAAAATAGATCAAAGTCCTAAAAAATTGGAAATCCTCGCTCAGTCTTTCTTCCGACTTCACTCTCATACATCACAAATATAAAGAGGCAGGCATTTTGTCGTACTTTTTGTCGGCTACATGTGGCAGCATAGCATTCTTAACCCGATGTGACATTTTTTGACTTTGCAAAATAAAGCTTTAGCTGACATACTCGTGGTCCATGTCAAGAGCATTATCAGGGCAGGAGGCTGTACAATATGGCTTCCAGGGTATGACAAATGTGGTCAAGGGGCGAGCACTCCCTAGGGACGTCAAAGCCTTCCATACAGTGAAAGCATTAGCTTTCCACAGTGACATTATGAAGAAATCTATTGAAAAGGCCGGCTTTCCAAAGGGGACTCGAGGTAGAAAGCTTCATGAGTCCACCCAAGAGACCGACTGGTATTTCCAACTGCGCCGAAGCCTACAGCAAATCAATAGCTCAAAGTCCCACATGCTCTCACCAGCGTCAATTAAGTAAATTCATAAAGTCGAGTGCACTGGGAGTTGAGGGAGGAAAATAAAAAGGGAAAACTAGAGAGCGAGAGCAGGAAAAAAGCATCCAGTCATGTAGCAGATTTGGATAGGAAACAGAGCTTCTGCCATGAGAGTTGTGGCTTAGCGAAAGTGGAGAGTGGTGGTCTAAAAGAGACTATTCCTCCACGGGCATTATTAAGAAGCCTGACAGTCCATCTCACTTTCACCTGCCTCCATCAGCACACGCACTGTTGACCCGGGAGTCTTTCCCCCCCCCCCCCTTGCTGAGCCAGGCAGAGGACACATGCAAAGTGACTGGCTTTCAGCAAAAAGCCCAGTGATAATGCATATCAGCTCAGGCCTATGCAAGCAAAGTAGGCAGGGGCAGGGTGGTGGGGATGGGATGTGGCGACGGGAGGAGGGGGGGGCGCGCTATAAACTGCAGCGCAAGAGGGAAAAGAGAAAGATGGGACCTAACCCTCAGCTTCAACCGCTCACAATGTGCCTCATAAGGGGAAAGCAGGGCATGCCTTGGCTGCCTCTGGAAGACAGGTAGCGTAATGGATGGGCCAGTCTCCCAGCCTGACTGCTGACGCTGCTCTGACAGGACGTTTCTACCTCTCCTTCACTCCCTCTCTCCCCGTTTGCCCCGTAGTGTTGTCACAGTAACTACATCTGATTTCAAGAACTTTGCGTGTTGTGAATTTCTACCTGGCCGTCACATCTAGAGGGCATAAACAAACACTGCGATTGGAATTTGTTTAAAGAATAGACGAAGTGCATTGAGACAGTTTGACGTGGACAGGTTTGGCCCAGAATCTACAAAGTATTTCCAAGCAGACGTGCAATCATCCACTCTCGATACAAAAGCAGCATTGATGTTGTTGGCTTAAAATCAACTTGAACCACGACCAGTTGCGAAACTACAGAGGTAGTTAGGACTGTCAGTACTCGACTCAGAACTTGTACAATAGTAAACAATGTCTATCAAAAATTGCTCTTTGATTTCATCTTTCCACCAGGTGTGTGAGGCCTGCAAACTGCCGCATTGTGAGGAGCGGTTTGCAAGCATCATTACATGATGTTGGACTTGGTGCATTTAGGGATGGTCTTGTAGTCAAAGCAAACAGTCGTCATGAACCAGTGCCAGTTGAACAGACAGAGCCACATAGCTAAAGGCGGACACATTTATTGAACTCTTTATTGTGTTTTGAACTGAACAGCTTGACAAACGGTTTTTTGAGCCAACAAAGACACCCAGCCGACATCAATACCCCCATACTAAAGTTACTATAAAGCTTTCTCATTCGATGCTGGCAGACATCTGTTGGTAAAAAGCTGGGCGGTTGTTCTGTGACATTGCTTGACGGTTCGTCTCCGATTTTCAGATACTAAACTTAACGCTAGTATCTAAGACAAAATGGTGGTATTGTGACAGGACTCCTGCTTCTACTCCCCTTCCTGCACCTTTCCTCTTTCTTCGCTCCACTTCCGTCACTCAGTCTGTCTGGCTCTGCATGCAGGTCAGGGTACTTAATTCATGTCCAGAGACATTGTTTCCTAATTCCCCGACATACTGTGCGAGGAAAGACTTGCCATACATTGGTGCTAGATTGCATCCTCCTCTCCCCCACACGCCCCCTCTCCCTCCACCCGCCTTCTGAGAGTGTGCGATACGGAGGAACGTTGCAGACGCTCCCCAGCGGGCCCACTGATAACCCTCCTACCAAGCCCCAGCCGAGGAACACTGGCGGCCTGGATATCTTCCAGCCGCGAGGAATAATGAGAACAAAAGCAGAATACATGGCCTTCTTTCTCTTTCTTCCTACCCCTCCTTCTCCTCCACCTCCATCCTGCTCTGTTCCTCTTGTTCCGTTCCCTTCACATATTAGCCAGCGCGTTCTGCATTGGCTCCAAAGGAAAAGGAGATGGGTGGGAGAAATGATTGAGGAACGGAAAGCGGACAGATTCCACTGCTCACATCAGAGCCCTACTCTGTGGTTTGCAAACAGTCATTTTACTATATTTACACTGATCTTAAGGTAATAAACTGGAGTTGACATTGCCCAGGGTCTCCATTGGCATTCAGCTGGGTTTGATAACAAAGTGTGCCGAAGCAGATTGTTTAAAAAGATAGAACAGGCCGCTCCACGAGCCGTGCACTCTATTAGATGTTGATTCAGGGGCTTCATGCAGATAAAGTAGCTCTACACGTGCTGTACAGGATGTAAGCCAATACATTGATGTGTAATATTTCTAATCTGATATTTATCAGGTTAGGTAGCACTCAGCCTGCCCATCAATCACTTGACTGACAGTCAACATACAGTACGAGTGTGCACATGAATGTATATCAGGACTTGTGTGGATGGGAATGTGTGGACGTGTGTGTGAGTGGCAGCAGAAAGTCAACCACTGAGATACAGATTTCAGATCAGCTCTCCAGCTTTGCCTCTCATGCCTCTTTTTCACCAGGAGCTGATTACCCACATGTGTTTGTGTATTTAACCCATTATTAATGTATTCTTTAAACAATGTATGCATTTATTTGTATTTGTTGATATATGTTTTACTCTAGGAAGGCTTTTTCGTGTAATAGTCAAATGTAATTCGTCCCCTTAGATCTAACATTTTTTGGAGATATGTACAATTGCAGAAACTAAGAAACCGTCTGAACTCAGATGATGGAAACGGGAAAGGAAAAGCTATTTTTTCTTACAGTGAAATACATTTTGCTTCATAAACTAGGTCAATTGATTTCATTTGATGATTCAATTGATTGCATTATTTCTTATTTAAAGTGTTGGTTCATGGTTAACTTATTATATACCTAGCCCTAACAATTTCACAGATACATCTCTATTGATTTCCCCTCCCCATCTTGACTTGGTCCTTACTGAATTTTTAAAGTACTGCATCTTCAGAAAGCCTGGAACACTGAGCTGCTTTTGAGTACAGGTTAGGAAAGTACAGTAACGAACCACTGCTTCCCCTCCTGATATTGACACTCTGTTTTTCTCTGTAAATGTTCCAGGTGCTGTTTTTCCGCCCCATGTGACTGAGAGGAGCCTTCTCTGCTTCAATAGATTACAGCATGTGGACTGTTCCGATACTCTGACCAAGAACCACTAGACATAGACCACTGCGGGGGGAGAAGAAGGCTGTGGTGGTGTGGCCATGGATAGAAGGAGAGTTTGCGTATTGATGGTGCTGTGGGTTATGGCCCACCTCAGCTCTCCTGGTCACGGGCTCAGGGCCCTTCGGAGAACTACAGGGGGGCACAAGGGGGCCGCAGGACTGACGGGACAAGACGCCAATGGAGTGCCGCTGAGGCGATCCAAACGTGGATGGATGTGGAACCAGTTCTTTTTGTTGGAGGAGTACACCGGGTCTGACATGCAGTATGTCGGAAAGGTAATTAAAGATCAATTTCTTTCCTTTGTCAGACACACTGGGATTGTTTTTCAATGCCACATCAGTTTTACACTGAAGTATTATTACATCCAATAATCAAACAAAAGCACAGGGATAATAACATCCCACACCTTTGAGACATATTTAATTAGTCAGATTAATTAGCAAAACTGTGTTATTTTTCACTAGTGACCACAATAGTCTGTTGTCTAATGTCTACAGCATAGTGTATCAGATCAGACTTTGTTCATTATTTGATCAGATTACTTCCTAATTCGAAATAATATTTAGTTTTTACTATGAACAAAATATAACCGATCACATTCCTTTTTACTGAGAGTCAGTTGCCTGTTTATCAGAAGTGTCCCTGGGATCAGTTCTAAGTAGAAGAGCAATAAATAACAATGCATTAGATGAAAGAAATCTAAATTCTATTATGGGACCAATCCAAACCTGCTGTTTCAGTTTGTTCAGAATGACTAAAGGAAGCACTGCGTATTTGATTTGAGCAGCTAACCATCTACTACAGTTGAATGAAAAAGAAAGGATTGTCTCAAACAGATACTCAAACTGCATCATTAGAAACCCGAAGATACTCTCTGCACGGTTTTTCGTTGTGAGTGAGCTCTATGAAGTCCATCTCACAAATTGTTAGTTCTGTAACACACACAGTCTGAGTGCTCTCCTCAATGTTTGTCTATTCTTCTGGGAGTGTTTTTCCTCGGAGCCACTGTCTACACAACAAAACATTAACTTTTCACATGCCGGCATTTGAAAAGTAGCTTTTTTAGATTTTTAGATTTTAGATTCTCATTACAGTATGTAGTCTTGTCGATACATATTTATGAAGTTCTGCTATTTGTCCGTCAATCCAAATGAATGCAAATTTCCACCAAATACTGCTTTATTTGCATTTTACAGTCCTAGAACAAACTGAATTTGTGATACACAATTTTTCAAGTTTATTTTTTAGCAAAAAGGGGGACAACCTAACTACCTGTGGTGCCTTTTCTTAGTAGCATAATGGATTCATGGATAATGTGATCAACCTCTATTAAATGAAATAAATTGTTCCTAATGAGCTGCTTTAAAATAAATAACATCCTATTACTGTTTAATTCTGTCTCTGAATCAACCCATCATCGGAGAGTAGACATGACATGATACGCCGATTGGCTAATGCTCATGAATGGGACTTCCTTCCATCCATCCTCAGGCTTTGTTTGCTGTCGCCTGTCCGATACATATTGTGCTTACTGTCATCTTTGCGGCTGCTTGCACGATGTCCATTCCACTCACATCATGCCGTCCGAGAGCGGCTGTCTTGCCCGACAGTAAAATATGACTTCCTCCGAAGGTAATATTTGTTCAACAATATGAAAACATAGTGTCGACCCAGATAACATTGGGGAATGTACAAGAAGACGGGCCAGCTAATGCTTTACATGCAGCGGAGCGGAAGTCAAGATATCAGCCTTCTCTCCCAACCTACTGTAATTGAGGAGATTGTGAAGCGTGGGGGCAAGGTCAGGACGACTGAGAAAGGAAGAAAGGGGGTTTTGTGCGAGGAGTTGAATGGGGCTGGTGCTTTGCATTCCGATCGTGTGTCCATGGGGTTAGAGTCATCCAACCAAATGAGATTCTGCAACATACGTCCTCCTAAAGTGGGGGTTGACTTTCAGCCCCCGTCTTAAAGGATTACAACACTCAATATGGTACGAGGCGGGCAAATACGAAAAAGAACAAAAAAGTTGAAAAGAACAAAAAAAACAGAGTGAATGAAGATCAGAAAGGAAGTACCGAGCATGATCAAACCACTTTGTCTTCAGAGCACGCTGATTGATGTGCCACTTGTCCTTTAAGCTTGTAAAAGGACTAATAGCGAAAGAAGAATGGATTATCTGAGTGTGGTATACACTTAGAGATCCAGAGGCTTTGGCCTAAGAGTCCGTCTCCTGAAGATGCCATTAAGGCATCAACCTTCGAGCACCACACTTAATCATGACTCTGAGCGCTTGTTGTCCCCCCCCCCAAGTACATGCAGCTGGGAGCTTCTCCACAGTGTTAGCTCACTAGCCAGTTGTCTCATAGGATTGTAGTTGGTGGATCTTATCTGATTGCAATTACTGTTTGTTAATTGCTTGATTAAGTACAAGTGATGAATAAGGCCCTAAACGGTATGAATAGCTTTCGAGTTCAACACGTGCCTCAACATAGAGAACAACCATCTGCATCCGTATCCTCAGGTGGAGGCCATATCCGCATCAAGTGGGCCTGAAGAAAAAAACAACAATACCAGAAACACAAAAGGGAAGGCTTTTGTCATTGCAAGTGACATCATTGCAACCAGAGAACACAGCAGGGAACAAAACCACTTTTGTTAGTCGAGAAAAAAATGAATTGGAAATAACACAATGGCAGGTTATTATAAACAAGGGAGCAGCTCTTGACACACAGTAAAAGATAGAATCATGAAACTACACTTGAATTACAACATCCCGTCTCCGGTTATTTGGTAAACTCAATCTCCCCCGGTTGCTTTTTTTCGAAGGCTTTATCGAGTTGTGAAGTGCTAACAAATGAAAGTGTAATCTTTCCTGAGCAAGCGTAACAATGGCAGTTGGAACAGGAAGAAATTAAGGGAAGCGATCGAGATGAAGGGCAACAGGAGACTCCGCCGGTGTCTTGTTGTGGAGCTGGTTGGCTGCTAATCTTGCTAATCTTGCTGTATTGCACAACAATTTATGTTGTTCCTGCAGGAGGGGGAATCGTACACTGCCTCTCATTAGCAGGCGAGCTGCATATAGGCCTCCGAGGGTCCGCGCTGTCACTGGGGGAAGAGAATATTTGTTTATTTCATTATTTCTTACTTTACCAAAGGGCACACATCCACTGAAAATGGTTAATGGCCTGTGGTTTAGGAGTGTTTGTGCTGTACTATCATATCTCATAAAGTATTTACAGCCCCTGATAGGCCCCAGTGGTTCTGGGTCTGCCGGGTAGACTCTTCAACACAGTCCCTAGCAAGTGAGCAATGTTCTCTGAATGTGAACAAACACACCAGCGTGCACGCAAACACACACACACACACGTCTGCCTCCAGTAATGGGCTGGAAATCAGAGGAAATAAAAAAGCGGCAGAAGAACACAGACATAATATTCTTCCCAGTCCTGAATGACTCAGCGGTTGAAGCGACCTGGGGGAAAAGACTCAAGCGTCTTATGGCAGCCGAGTGGAAAGGTGCAGGGATTGTTTGTGTTTGTTTGTGGGGGGTGGGGTGATTTTTGGTCTCTGTTCCCCCCCCACTACCAGCTGCTCACCTTGGCAAAGAGGCAAGGAGTTTGCAATATGGCTGTACCCGCGCCATGGCAACCTCTGCGGTCTCCAGCCGCGGCTTGGAGCACACATTGGCAGTGTTTGTTGATTAGGCGATAAGTTCCTGCGTGTGTGCTGGGAGGGGGTGACTTCAATTATGCTCTTCTCCTGCGACGTGTGAGCAGCGGAGGAAAGGGTGTGATGAGGTCATGCAGCGACGAGGCCCGGCAAACATCTGTCTGACAACGTTGCAGGGGCGAGGCGATGTCGGCGCGAGATAGGTCGACATCACTACAACATCTTGCAATTGTTTTCATGCTATCGCCTGCCCACTACTGTTTGAACACCCGTTGATTTTGACGGGGTGAGATTAATTCATTTCTTATCATCAAACAGTCAAGTTTTGTATCTACCTTATGGACCCCATAGATAGTTTACATGTAATTATACAATCTTAAAGGTCACCCACCTACTATGCAAAATCCACTTTGTCATGTATTTTATACAGAAACATGTGTCCCCTCTGTGTAAAGAGATTCTGAAAATTTCAAGAAAAAATATTTGCTCACTTTTTTTCCTGATCCATTTCTATAAAAACCTGTCTGAACATGAGCAGATTTTGGCCACTTTATGATGTCAGAGCGAGTTCTTGGCTTATGTAACCATTAGCCAATCACCAACAAGGTAACCCCCCCACCATATCACCTGAATCTCCTCCTAGAGCACCATTGTGTTATTTTTAACTAAATATCTCTCAGAGGGGCGTGGGGAGGGGCTCCTTATTTTCATCTGAAGTAATAGACAGAGAATCAGCACTTTGGAAACAGAGGGGATTATGGGATGCTGCAATGCATGATCTGTTTGGTATTTCGAGCCAAACACTTCAGAGACATGTTTTGTATAAATCTGAGAACGATAATATATTGATGAAAAAGAGTACAATAGGGGACCTTTAAAAAACGCCTCCAAAAAAGAAACAACAGTGAGGACACGACCTCAGGCCCTGTAGCAAAGTAAATAAACTGTTGAGAATTTATTTTAATTAAAAGATAACATGCTGGAAATTATGTATGGCACAAAGAACTAAAGATGTCAGAGGTCCACAAAAGAGGAAATATGTTAAGGGACATTTCACCTTTAAGCCTCTGCAGCTCTGATGGCATATCGCAAGTTTACACATCAACACACATTTGATAGGCTATTTTTGTGCACAGTCTGAGGCTACCATCTGGCTTCATAGAAGGCAGCCAGTTCTCGACAGGCCAGGACACAAGGCCTTAAAGGCTAACTGGCTAATTGCCCTTAGCAGCCCATTTTCAGTGCCATCTTTTGGGCCTAACTTGAATGAAGAACAAATGGCGGCCAGATCGAGTCTGCACTAACATTTGCTGCACTTGAAGCTGATTAATTTCACAAACAAAGACGGCTTGCTTCTAAGTTCTCACGCACAGATGTCTGATGAGTACCACTTCACTACTCAGCCCACTTCAAACTGAAAGATGAAGCACATAGGAATAGAAATAAATATCTTCTACTGTGAAAAAATGCCAACCATTTGAAATCACTGCTGAGAAGGCTAATTGAGTGGAGGGTTTTGAAATAGATAGCATTGTATTGATTATATAATGGTTTCAGTACATTAACATTAGTTTGCTTCACAGCTGATTCACTGCCAAGACATATTTTGTAGTCATATTTGCCTTTGAGCCTTATTTTCCTAGAACTCCACTCATTTCAAAGAATCTCAAGTTTCATGTTTGATTTTTTGAAAAAAATAAAGTTGTTTTAAAGAAAGAAGAAGAATATATTTAGATTACATTAGTTAGGAAAACATAATTTGATGAGATTAGTGATGTAATTCTCATGTAAATATGAAGGTACCACATCACTTTAAGAGTGGAAATGGGAAAAAGCTATTTGTCCCAAAATAAGACCATAGCAGCCCATTTAAACATCATTAACACACCGTGTCCTCATTGGGTATGACTTCCTTTATGCTTTATGCTAAACTGCTGGCTGTAGTCTACTTTCTATAAAATATGAAAGTGGTGTAGTTTTCTCATCTAACAATCTGCAGGAAAGCTTTTAATTTGAGAAGATGAGGATATTGGGCCACTATTATAGACAGAATGACTTGATAAGATGGATTTTTTTTGTCGTTTCCTCTTTCTTTCTTTATAAAAAGACCAGAAGTCTCTGTGTTAATGGCTATAGCGTCATGCTCTCTGCCTTTTTTACGATTTGGTACCATAGGAGGGCAAAGGAGAAAAGGCTAGCTATTGATGTGCCAGAGCTTCTTGGTGACCATACTGAATGCACATGTGGCTTTCTTCTTCTCCCCGTGACAGTTTAATTGTATTTTCGATATAAATTGATCAGAGGGCCATTGTGGATGCACGTTGGGCTGCCACATTGATTTCCGGGAGAGGTTTTTTTTTTCTGCTCTTAATTTGAGTAGAAGGGTTGCAGTAAATGTTCCTCACCAGCAAGGTGGGCAACTGGGAGGGACAGGGTCATTGCAGCGGGCGATGGAGTTCGATACTGCCTTGTAATATCCTTGAGGGGAGCGAGGAGGAACTCTTGAGACCACAATAACTCTCTGTTTCCATAGAAATGACAGTCGACACAGCATATGTCACACTGTCTATCTCACATCTCTGAAAGAGAGGTCTCAACGGTTATTAACTGAATTGTTGTGCCAGCTGAGATAGGCAGCTTGATAGACAATCATAGGAAAGGACATTGCAGCTATAACAGCGGGAGAAAGATAATAATGTTGAAGTGGATTGTTTTCAGCCAACTGAGTCTCTGTTGGAAGCACGTACTGTAAAGCAGAATGGTAAACAAATAAAAATGCGCGTGATATTCTCTTGGCTTGGTTAGACGGAGGGAATAAAAATAAAATGAGAGTTGTTGTGACCAAAATACAAGTGGTTTAATGAAACAGTGCGCCACTCCAGATCCTAATCCGAAAAGATACTGAAATTCTGTAACACACCCGACCGGCTCGGTGAGACAGACAGAGAAAGGAATGAAAACAGTCATTTTAACCAGCATTCAAGCAGGCGAACAAAATAGTGTTAAAGATGTTAATCCACAAAGCTGTTCGTCTCACGTGCCAGCTTTGCCCTGATATAACAGCATGAATTAGTAAAGCCTCCGAGCACCTGGGATGAAAATCTTTTTAATATATGATGAGAAGGGAGACTTTGCAATGTGCTCCCACGTGACCCAGCTGGAACGCACAATATCCCCCCTCAGTCTGTCCGCCGGCACAGCCAGAAATGCTTGTAGACACAAATATGCATTCGAACTGTCAAAATCAAACGCGGTGGCTCACTTGAGTTAACGAGGTGTCAACAGCACACATAGGAATCACGTACTTGTGCCCACTCGTCGGCGTAAACATTCGGATGGCCGCGGTTTTATACTTTGAAAACATGTAACCTCTTTTTGCCCTGTGCCTCCCCCTGCAATTATTACCGTGTCCTTGGTTATTAAAGAGGGGAATGGGAAGTGGGCAGGAAAGTAGTGGGAGGGGAAAACGACTGGACAAGCTTTTGATGAGTTCCCGGAGATAAATATGTTGGGGGGATTTGGTGGTGGAATTAAAATGTCAGCGCATGCTAAGCTGCTGTTCATGCAGAAAAAAAATTAAACAGGAGATGGAGAGGGAGAAAGCAAATAATAATGAGAAGCTCCACAGACAAGTGGACACTGGTGGTCCTCTGGCATGTTGGTCATGTTGCTGATCCATCAGGGATTGGCAGGCGGCGGACGTGAGCGCAGTCATGCTGGTACTTCACAGACTTCGACCCACTGGCATTCTGTTTTACAGCACTGTGAAAATGCCACAGTGGTCCTGCGGTAAGAAGCGTGATGACAACCTGAAACAATGCCAGTAAAATGCGACATAAATGCTCCGACTGTGTTTTCTGCTCGGCAGGATCCGAATTTCACAGATGACGCGATGACAGTTTACTAAAGATGATATGAATCTGTTAAACAACACCAAACACACTTATCAAAGCTGTCACTGCTTCTTTGCCAAGACCCAGATTGGTCAGATTGCTGATATGTGCACAGTGTATCAGAAATATTTAAGCGGGGAACTGTGATTTTACTTTGTAATTGGATTCTGTTGACATCCTTGGTACTAAGTGATTTATGCTTAGATGTTTGTTTTGTATGCACTTCACTTCTCGATGATCACCTGTCAATCAAACGGTGCAGCGGGTGCTCTGATGTTTGTCTTTTTTCTTGGACTTTATGTAGATGAGGTTTCTGTTCACCGTGGCTATTTCTGCTCATAGCAATTGGAAGATATGTCTCTGGAGAGAAGCTAGCTGACATTTGGTGTCCATAAGAGCACATTAAGCAAATGTAAAAGCTTTCATAAAGTGAACTTTGAATCACTGTTGTGCTTTAACAATTAGCAATAGAGAGCTGCAAAGTGGAAATGTATTAGAATGAAAACACCACAAACTGTTGTATGGTTCTGCAGGGATCATTTTATTTTTTTCCTCCCCACAGCTTCACTCGGATTCAGATCGAGGAGATGGGAACACGAGGTACGTCCTCACAGGGGAGGGGGCCGGGTCTCTCTTCAGGATAGACGAGAAGTCTGGGGACATTCACGCCACCAAGAGGCTGGATCGGGAGGAGAAGGCCTACTACATCCTTCGGGCCAAGGCCGTCAACCGCTTCACCAACGAGGCGCTGGAGGGGGAGTCCGAGTTCATCATCAAGATCCACGACATCAACGACAACGAGCCGCGCTTCACCAAGGACCCGTACACGGCCAGGGTCCCTGAAATGTCTGACATCGGTAAGTTCTCGACGTATATATTCCTGATAATACCATTCATTGAGTTCTTTAAAGATTCAAGATTCAAAGATGCACAAAGCTACAGTGTAGAAATGGCAATGACATTCTTCTGACCTGAGCTCCTCCAACAATGCAACATATTGTAACGTTCCCAAGATGAGTCGGAGACAGGCTTGTAGTTATTAGGCTTTAATAACTAGTATTTGAAGACAGATGATAACAGGTCAAGTACACTTCGTGGGTTCTACCGCACACTCCACTCACACTGACACTAACTTCTACACATACCCATATATATATAGCACTGTCTACGTCACAACTCCCCGCCCTCCCCCGTCCGCTCCACCAACCACAGGCCCGCACCTCAGCCACCATCACGGTGCAGCTCTATGATTGGCAGAGAGACGGGGGATGCCTAAGTGACACCCTGAGTAGCCTATCAGGATCGCTACACTACCCCCCCACTACAAAGTTCCTCGCCCACGAGGAACAAATAAAACTCAGCACAAACACTACCCCCACCCTCTCCAGTACTCTGCAGGGACCAACCCACTGACTGTCCAGTTTTGGGCACCGGCCTTTCTTCCGTTGTGGGCTGTAGACCCAAACCAGCTCCCCGGCCCGGAAATGCTGCCCTCTTGTCCTGGTGTCATAGTTCCGCTTCTGTCCACCTCGTCCAGTCTCAGCTCCATCTCCTTCAGTTCGCCTCCGAGTCTGAACCTCACAGAGTCCAGGGTCTGCTCCACCTCTGCCTTCATCGAGGCCTCTCTGTGTTGGGCGTTCTGCTCCATGATACTCCTCTCCGCTATAGCTACGCTTGCCTGCTTCTGGGACTCATCCAGCTGAGGTTTACAGGTATCCAACTCTGCTTCTGTCCTTTTCAGGTCTTCTAGAGTTTTCAAAGTCTCCAGCTGGGATTGTCCTAGCTTATTCTGGAGCTCGTTGTAACCTTACTGCAGCGCCTTAGCGTCTCTACCCATCTCGCTGATCCTCTCCTGGTACTTGATGCAGTCCCTCTGCAGCTGCTTCTCCCTCAGCAGCTCCTCCTGCTTACCAGACTCTGCTTCTGCTCTCTCTCTCTCTGTGCTTGCCTCATGTCCTCCTCCAGCCTGGCGGCCCGGTCGCTCTCGCTCTGCGCCTCAGCCTCCAACTCGGCCCGCTCCCTCGCCAACCGCTCCACCTCCCGCTGCAGCTCGGCCAAGTGCTCCCGGTTGTCCGCCACCTCCTGCTGGTAGTCTGCAATGCTGCCATTGAGCTGGGACAGCTGGTTCGTCAGACGCTCCTCCAGGTTGTCCTTCTCGGCTTCCAGGCTCCTGAGCAGCTCTTTGAACTGCGCCTCCCTCTTGGCACCTTCCTCCACCAGGCTCCTTTCTCTCTCTTTGCCCTCTTGGAGGCACTTCTCCAGAGAGGCCACAAGGCTCTCCTTCTCTTTACTCTCCTGGAGATCTCGCTCAAGAGAGGCCAGCTCCGCTTTGAGTCTAGCCTCCTGTTGCTGCCGCAGTTCCCTCTCTGCATTGACAGCTGCTTCCATCTCCCTCATTTTCCCCTCTAATAAAACTTTAACACTTTCAGTCATTTCGGTATCCCATACAGGCTTCTCCTCCACTCTGCAGCTCCTCACAGCCGGTGGTACCGGCCTTCCGTTGCTCCTCGCCACTACACTCCACACAATCTCTCTCTCCACAGCCATCTCCAAGGCCGCCTGCAAGGACTGTGGATGCTGCAGCTGTACCCCAACCCTCAAGTCCGCAGGGAGGAGAGCCCTGATGAATTGATCACGTGCCAGCTCACTCTGCACTCCGGGTGGCATGTGTGCATATGCCCGCCGCGTCAGGCTCTCCACACGCACGCAGCGTCTCTCCAGACTTCCTACAGCGGTTACTCAATTCGTTCCGGAGCAGCTCTGGCGGGAAACACTGTCCAAACCGCCTCTTCAAAGCCCCCGCTAACGCTTCATAGCTGTGTCGGTCCTCAAGGCTAAGTAGTAGCAGACATGAAAGAGCCTCTTCTGTGAGGCACAAAGCTAGCTGTAGTGCTTTAGTCTCTACTGACCACCCCCAGGCATGAGCAAGCAGTTCAAATTGGGCATGGAAAGCCTCCCAGTCTGCCTTACCCGAAAATTTGGGTGTTTTCACTGACCCGGCGGCGGCTGTTGCGGGTTGATGGGCGCCGCCATTGTTGTTTACCTTCCGCTTGGAAATGGCGCGAACTGCCGCAGAAGACGGAGACATTCCCGCGTCTCTAGCCATCCTCACCGCCGACTCTCTCAGGCGCTCTCTCACCTCCCGTGCACTCATGAACTCCTCTCTCATGTCCTTCGACCACCCGCATGCTCCATCTTCCTCTTCATCACTACTGTGTTCCTGCTTCACTCCCATCTTGCTGAACTTATCCATCCCCGCTAGCTTACCGGCTAGCTCCGTGACGCAGTTACGACTCTCGTCCGGATAGACGTCCCTTGTTCGAAAAGTTCACTTCTGACACCAATGTAACGTTCCCAAGATGAGTCGGAGACAGGCTTGTAGTTATTAGGCTTTAATAATTAGTATTTGAAGACAGATGATAACAGGTCAAGTACACTTCGTGGGTTCTACCGCACACTCCACTCACACTGACACTAACTTCTACACATACCCATATATATAGCACTGTCTACGTCACAACTCCCCGCCCTCCCCCGTCCGCTCCACCAACCACAGGCCCGCACCTCAGCCACCATCACGGTGCAGCTCTATGATTGGCAGAGAGACAGGGGATGCCTAAGTGACACCCTGAGTAGCCTATCAGGATCGCTACAATATATAATAAAATACAAAATAAAAAGTAGTGCAAAAAGTCTATATCCATGTCAAATAGAATATGGGATGTGTACATGAACAGAATATGAAATTAAATCATGTAAATTAAGACACAATTAAATACGGTTTATTTAACGATAACAAAGTAAGACAATTTTTCCAAGTATAGAAAAATAAATTATACTCTCAATACGTTTTTTACCTATTGCACATCTATTGTGCGTACAGTATGTGTTTGTCCAATGATGATGTGCCCATGTAATAATCTAACTGAATACATCATTAAATATCACATGTGTTAGCTGACACAGGCCACTGTGTCCATACAGCCATCCCAACCCCAGAGATATTTCTTCCATAAAGGGAAATTAAAGATTGAATTGATAAAATAAAAAGGAAACCAAAAACAGATTAGCAAATTAATAACAGTAATTAATTTCGGGAAAATAAATATTTTGTGTGCACAGCAGGCAAAGAGAGTCGCATTTAGTATGTGAAAAATAAATGTATTAATCAAAAGCATACAATAATTACACGAATGAAGGTGTTTATGCAGCTGGATTAAAAGGCTTATGATTCAGATTGGATAGAGACATTTCAAAATGGCAGACTTACTGGATCAATGGGACTTTATCAATCATAATAATGACGCAGGCTTAACATAGAGGGCCCGGCTAATTAAATGAGACTCGAAGCTGTTTTATGTGCCGAAAATAAACAAGGTAAAGTGTTTCTGTCACGGTTACAGCACTGGTGCAGATAATCTTTTAAATACAGTATTGTATCTTATTAAAACTGTATTTAATTGAATTACCAGCAGCTGTTTCCTCATAGTGAATAACTTCAGATTTCACTGATTCTGATTCTTAGACAGCACCATTTTCTATTCACATTATCATTCCTTCTTGTCATTCGGCTCCAGATTAAACTTTAATTTACTGTGCACTTTGGCTCTAGCTCTTAGTCTAAAAGTACACAGTGGCCTCATGAATATAGATACACAATATAAAAAGGCTCCTAATCAATACTTGCATGAAAACATGGTTTGAACTCCCTGTTCTGTTCTGCTGCTGTGGAGCTTTGGAGGCTGAGGGACATCGGTCCTGCAGCCCAGACATGTGACAGAGTTGTCACTTGGTTCAGTAAGCCCAAGAGAGAGAGGCCAGCACTTATCTAAGGGCAGCACGGGTGCCCATGGCAACAACCGAGGTGTGATGTCACTGGTTGGCAGAGCATGTGTTCACGAGTGACTACGTCCAGACACTGCCCCTTTAAATGTGACATACACTTTGAGATTTATTATCGTCTCACGGCTCTGACATTCTCCTCTTTGGACTCTTGTGCTCGGACGACTTTGACGCGCCCCTCCTTTGACGCGCCCCTTCTTTGACATCTGAACGATTACACTTGAGGTCATTTACTCCCCCTGCACAAAAACGGCGATCGTTCCTGACTTGTTTGTCAGAAAATTCTTTTCTCCGAAGCTTAAAGTCAGCGATGAGATGGCTGATGTGGATCAGTGATATTTTTCTAAAAGCCGCTATGTCAGAAAAGCCTCTTTGAGTCTAATTCCCTAGTTAAAGGTATTAGTCATCAAGGTTCGGTGAACTTACTCAGGAATCCTCCGAACTGTCACTTACAGCAAATCAGACAGCCGTGGTCTTTCTCTCTCTGCTTTTTGGTTTTATAGTTTCTTTCCCCAGAACATCCGTCACCCATACGAATGACATTGATTTTAAAAGGAGGGCAACTCTCCCTGTCACCCCTTACAGATCATAGCTGACATCACATTAGTGAAGTTTCACAGGGCCGTTTTCCTATTTTATTTCACAATTCTATATTTATACAACTTTGCCATTAAATATTTCTACTCAATTAATTTTCCTCTGCATGTAATGAGGCAACACTTGGCCCCGCAAGGCGCCATTTGGGAGGTAGCACTTGGCTAACCGTTTCCCTTTGTTCTACTGAAATAGGGCTTCAGCCTCCCTGGAAGAGAAAATGGATCACAGTCTTTCGCCTACGATCAGATATTTGGCTTCTTAGACACTACAGATCTGTGGATACACTAATAGGCTTCTTGGGTTTGCAAAGAGCCGGTATCGGTGGCGCTGCTATGCTTAGAGAGATATACTTAGAAAAATACATTAGGACTTATCGATTACTCGTGAAAATCAATCACGTGTGAGGGTATAAGTGGCCGAGGATAAAGATTGGTTGGGGTAATGCAAAGGGACAGAAATGATCAGTCACATTCTGCATGATTAGAAGAGGATCGGACACCTCATCAGAAGGTGCATCAGCTTGAGCAATTATCCAGCAGGCAATTTTCAGCAGTATTGTAGAGTTGATAGAAGTCATTGTCATGAATCTTCTTCCCCCCCCCCCCAGGCACCTCCGTGATTCAGGTGACAGCCGCAGATGCCGACGACGCCACCTACGGGAACAGCGCCCGCGTGGTGTACAGCATCCTGGAGGGCCAGCCATACTTCTCTGTGGACCCAGAAACCGGTCAGTAGGAAAAAACGACACATAAATACTCATATTCAGCTCCCGGGTCATACTTTGTGTTTATTCCTCCAAGTTTGATGTAGAAAAAGAAATAGCTTTGCTCAAGAACTTTTGAGAAATGTGTATCCTGAAGAAAAAAGCATTTACGTCTTAGAATAAAGTATAACTAAAGCTTTTAGATGCTTCAAAATGGATGTTCTTTGGAATCGACTTTAATTTGGAATCCGGTTAAAAGAATGCTATTTTATTTATATGTCTTAGAAACACTACAGACACAAATGACCCATTCATTTTTATGTCTGTGCATTATTGAGATATGTACAGCTCCGGAGCAATACCATTTGATTTCAGAAATATATCAAAACAACTAAATCAAGTTTGTTAGTCCTTCGGAATCCAAAGGCTAAAAATTTTTTATTGTGAGAATAAATCCTCGAAAGAAAAGTCAAAGATTATAATGTCTCCCCACCAAGTTTAGCCTCAGTAGAACAGCATTGTGCACAACTCTTCAGTATGTCTTCAGTGGAAAAGCTCTTATCCTCGCTCTAACAAGGCAACTGCCATTGCACTCTCCACACGTTTACACCCTTTCATCTGGAGGTGGCCATTCTGCTAAAACAGAACAGATCACTAACTGACACAGAAATAGAGGAGGCAAGCTGAGCTTTACCAAGAAAGAAAATTAAAACAATTTATCAGAAAATAACTCCTGGAAGGCTGTGAATTCCCCTTGAACTGAACCAAAAATACCAACACGTCTGCCTCCTCTCGCTGGCTGACAGGCGGGGGGGGGGGGGATTTATAGTGTGAGTGGCAAATCACCAACCCCAAAAATCTAGCCGCTTGCTAGTTTTAATCATTAATGTACGCTTTGGAACACATCCCGCTCCTGTCTTTTTTGCTTAAACAAAAGGGAAACGACAAAAAAACCATTTGCAGATTAGCGCAGGGATTAACAGTAATATGGTTTATCCCACATGTGGTATGTAAGCTGACATCCCCTCTTACACAAAGACATGCCTGGACATCACATTATAAGCAGGATTTGTTTCTCTTCTCCTCCTCGGTGTGTGTGCATTGTAGTCATTAGGCAATAACAAAGGTAGAGCTATAGAGAGAGCGTGACGCTGCTTTAAAGCGGCTATACGCTTGCTTCCTTTCCTCAACGATCGCTTTTCTCGTAACACCGTGTTGTCCGTGAGATAAATTGCACATCATTAGGAAGAAGAAGAAAAAAAGTTGAAGGGCCTTTTAAACAGCGTAGGCCAGTCTGATCTCAGTTGGAATGATGCACCACGTCTGTTTGATATGCAATGAATCATCTACTGTATTCAGAAAGTGATGAAGTTTGCAAAGTAGTTTATTTAGGGTGAGATTTAATTTTTTGTTTTACTTTACTCCCACTGAACCTCATCTGTCTGCCTCTCTCCCTCCATCTGCTTCTTTTTCATGCTGCTCCTAATTCCAACATGTAATAGAAGACATGATTTAAGACCGCCTCTGATGGGAGATGCAGCACAACTTTTGAATATGCTGCCAATTACTGCTTTACCCAGTCTCTGTCCTGACTCCAAACCAGACATCTAACATGTCAGAGCGCAGGAGTAAGCAACTTCAAGGCACTTAAAAGGCGGAATGTTAACTGAGCCTTAATTCCAAAGAGGAGATAAAGGCTGCTGAATGCATTTGGAGGCGAATGTTACGCATGGAGATTTAAAGGAATAAGCTGTGGTTTTTGGTAGATTGGCCCTTTGGTCCACTTACCAGTTAAATCACGAGAACACAGACTCCACAATGTGCTCCTGTGTGACCGCAGAGCTCACTTCCGCCACGCCTCCTCGGCAAGAGAACTGACCTCTCTGTAATAAAATGTTCCTAGTGGTTTAATTATCTAGCCTGTAGATGCATAAATCTAAAAAATGAAATGTCATTTATTTAATACAGCTGATGCAGCCAGGCTTTTTTCCAGGCAAATACAGTGATCTTTGATACGCAGTCCACCTGTGGAGGAATATCATTATTTTTATGTCATAATAGTTGTTAGATTCGGAAAGGTTGTACAGAGACCCTGTCAGACTTGCATAGTTTGATGATGACTTAGGGGTGCATTCACACCTAATAGTTTTCCGTTTTCTGGTGCGCACCATAGACTGTATGTGTGAACGCACTGTGTATTTGCTCTGTTCATACTGCATATCAAAGCTGCATTCACATAACATTATGAAAACATACCATGATATTCAGTTTGAAGTTGTATTGACCCATATGTTATGTTCCCGCTCACCCAAAATATATTTTTGCTGCTGCAGAGGACATTGTTGACCACAGCTGAAGGGTCAGTGAGTTCACAGGTCCTCTTGTGCTGAGCGCACCTCAGAAAATGCAGTCAGTTATATAAAGTGACTAAAAGGGCAAATGAGGGGCTGGTGATGCATCAGAGTCTCTTTAAACTTATAAGCAAAAGTGTTTAAAAGTTTTGTCCTGCAATTTTAATGAAAATCAGCTTTTTGTCATTTATACCAATCAAATTAAACATTGAAAAATGCGTTAAGGGCTGCAACTAATGATTATTTTCATTATGCATTAGTCTGTTGATTAACGTCTTGATTGCTTGACTACTAATTTTGTAAATAAAATGTCTAAGAATTGTGAAAAATGCCTTTGAGCTTTGGTTAATCTACCCAAAATATATTCAGTTTCATTTCAGGTATGTCAACGCAAAGCAGCAAAGTCTCACATTTGAAATGCTGAATCAGGAGAATATTGACTGTTTAAGCTTTTCTATTATAATACAGTTTTTATTTGAACTGAAACAGAAATTCAAGGGTTGTGATTGAGGGCATGGACTTGACTTATTAGATAACCAAATGGTCATTCTTTTCAAATAAACTCTCACCATGAATCTGTGCATTTCTCCTCAGGCCTGATCAAGACCGCCCTCCCTGGCATGGACAGAGAAGTGAAGGAAAACTACCAGGTTGTGATCCAGGCTAAGGACATGGCGGGGCAGATGGGGGGGCTCTCCGGCACCACCACGGTCAGCATCACACTTGCAGACGTGAACGACAACCCGCCACGCTTCGCTAAGAGTGAGTACAGGCCTTCTGGAACCCCCCCCCCCCCCCCAACACACACACACACACACACACATACATACACACACACACACACACACACACACACACACACACACACACACACACACATACACACACAGAGTGACCAATACTCAGCCCATGAAAACCACTTGTCACTGGGAGCCGGTGCCAGGCAGGCAGCCCCCATCTGGTGTCAGTTTCAAATGAATTTGGATTATTGCAGGGAGTTTTGTGCGACTAAGGCGGGCCTCTTAAAGGCAGCGAATAATTAAATATAGAGCCATATGACAGAGCGAGGGGTCCTGCAAAGTGCATCAGATCATCCCTGTAATCCCTATTAAATGAAGAGAGTACGTTCACTGGCCTTTATCTCCCCTACTCTTCCTCTCTTCTCTCTTCGTCTATCTTCTGCTGCCTTTAACTCCATAAAACCAATGTTCTCATTTCAGTGCTTCACCTCTCCTTGGTGAATCACCCCCCCCTCTTTTTGTAACCCTCTCACTCATCAATCATCAATTCTCCCTTTCTGCTCCCTTCCTACTCACTTTCAGTCTCGCACATTGTCTCCCTTTCTTCTCCCTCCTCCCACACGTCTCACTTCCTCTTGTGCATCTGGCAAACGGGGAAGACAGCCAGATCAGATTGACAGATTACTGGTGTCGTCGTGTTTCCCCTCAGTAACAACAAGCGCACTGTGCACTGTACAGTGGGTGACGCGAGGCAAACACGCGACCGCAGAACTCCCGCCGTCCCCGCATTTATCACTCCCTCCTTCCACCAGCTTGAGGGGAGGGAAAGGGGGGAGACAGACGCTGTCATCTCTGCCCCTGCGCCAATGAATGAACAGTGAGACGAGGGAAGGAGGGAGATGGATACGACAGGGATGGAGGAGGTGACAGGAGGGGATGATGGAAGAAGAAAGAAGAAGAGTGATGCAGGTGACAGAAAGACAGCCTGTGATGGAGGAAGGGGGGGCAGACAGAGGGGAAGATTGAAAGAGGGAGAAAGAGGAAGAGATATTGTAATGGGACACCCAGAGGAGGTGGAGTGTCAGGAAGCGATATCATTGTTGTCTGCCAGAGTGATGCCTCTTCTTTTCCACCCAATGCTAAATACCTGTTAGCCTAGGGAAACCTGCTAGTATGCCTCGCTTTCAGTGTGTGTCTGTGTATATGTGTGTGTGTGTGTGTGTGTAGAGGCAAGTGTCAGCGTCACAGAGACCTGCCGACTCAGGCGTTGCCAAAACACTGTCAGCATGTTTTATTAGTGTGTCAGTGCTGTTTGTCTCCGCAGGCTGTGTGTATATCACGCCCGCTCCCCCCGCAGTCCAGCTATTTATTTAAGCATACAAGATGCAGCTGGGGCCACCGCGGCCGACAGGCAGCCATCAATTCATCCGCCTCAAACCAGGAAATCATCTTACAAAATAAAAAAAAAGAAGAAGAAGGAAGCAATTAATTTGTGTTGAGCAAATTGGCCCAGAATTGATGTCACATCCTAAATTTCTGAGTCAATACCGCTTGTAGCAACTTATGTGAAAGGCCAAATGTCTGTTTTTGAAAATGAAATATGTTTCACTGCATATGAAATGGCTGCTCCACAGCTGATCTACAAATGTTGCAGCACTAAATCTCCCACACGGCTTCTTCTTTCACACACTCTCCCTCCCCGCCTGGCTCGTATATCGCTGCTCTCTGATTTGCTCTGACTCACTCCCTCCCGGACTCTTGTATTCTTGCTCTCTGACTCACCCACTTTCCCTCTTTCCTTTTTTCCACTAACAGGGTCATTAATAATAGGCAGGTTGTGTCGCTCCTTGGGTGTCAGGGGCAGTGGTGTTTCTTTTCCGGCCAGTGTATTGTCTTCATAAATTAATCTTGGCTGTATTTTTAGGGCTTCGATGCTTCTCTATTATGCTTTTAGTTGTCATGAATTTTTAAAGAATGGCAGGACCTCAGATGTCATGACCCTGCTCACGAACATTTTACATTTAGTTACACTACAGAGCTTTTACTAACTTGATCCAAACTTTAGTTTTCTCTGTACATCTGTTCCTGGAACCACCAAATCACTCGGATGTTTTTGTTCCTCCGCAGCCGTCTATGAGTTCAGGGTTCCTGAATCCTCCGATATTGGTTCTGCTGTGGGAGTGATCCGGGCCATGGACAACGACATAGGCGAGAATGCGGAAATGGAGTACAGGATCATCGGGAGCGACGGCCCCGGCATGTTCGATGTCACCACCAACAGGAGCACACAGGAGGGGGTCATCTTGCTGAGAAAGGTTGGTGTTCTGTGAGGGATTGTATGGGGTTAAAGGCACAGAGGTATAAAAGCTGCGCCCAAGTATTCATATAAAAGGTTTACTCTGGCAAAAACAAACACACATGTTAATACCGACATATTTTGTCTGGGTTATTTTAAAATAATATACATTTTTGAAATTATTTCCAATATCGTCCCATAAGACAAAGAACTACAACAAAACCAAAACAATCCAGTATTGCATACACATCACCACAATTTAAAAAAAGAATAGAAAATATCTCCTGCAACTCCTTTTTTTGCAACATTTCAAATTGTCCAGAGAATCCCACGAATGACCATGTTTTGTGTTACTGCGGATCCCTTAAGTGTTTGAATGCAATTTAAATACTGGCGAACTGGGTCATAACAAATGTACACTTCTATATAGAAAGGGATAATGCCCCAGGACATTGTAAAAATGGGGCTCAATTTCATAAAACAGCATTCGCACATGTTCTTATTTATTTATATTTTTGTGCTTTGAGAACCCTTGACTTGATTCCACCAAACCTGCACTGTACCGTATGAGCATCACACATCTCGTTTGGGCCAACAAGAGGAAACAACACAAGGTAGTGCACTCAATAAAGCAGAAAGTGATAGAAAGTGATAGTATCAAGCCTCTCTGCTGCTTTCGATTGATCGCTTCCATCATTAAATGGAAGATGACATAATTGCCTTTTGTATCTGTAGCAGTGCTGTAGTGGATGATGTGAGTGTGTGTGGGGAGTCTGCATGCCCTAATTCTGAACCTAATAATTAAATGGGCTTGTCAGGAGTGTGTCCCATCACCGCTTCCACCGGCCCTTCCAAGCAAAAGACCCTCCCATTGAAGTGAGGTCTTAACAAGAAACGCTGAAAATCACCGACTCATTTTATGTTTTTATCCATGGCTTCAGAAAAAGGCTTGTTCCATCTGGATTTGTCATGCTTTTAAAGGTTGTTTCCAGCGATCACGGACCCGCCATCCTTTCATATGTACAGGCAGCCTGCGAGGAGCTCACTCTGATCTAGCTGCTCCCGCTCAGCGCCGAGCACACATTCATTAAAATGCACCGCTCCCCAATTATTACCATGAATGGGGGGATACCTTCAGTGTCTACAACTTCAAAAAAAGGTTCACAGAAGGAACATAAAAGGGAAAACATCTCGCCAACCTGTGCGGAATAATATCAATCATTGTGTGCAGTCCATTAAATGATAGGATGTAAGAGGAGTGTACAGTAGATAATAACAATAACAATGCTGCTTCCTTTTAAGCAAACAAATTGGTAAAATAAAAGTGTGGATACCAACAGAGGAGGTCTAGCATAAATCCACTATATAACTATGTAAACTGTCTGCTTTTATCATACTCAATGTGAACTTATCATAACATAAATGTAGAAAAAGTATTGCTCACCAGAACCTTAACCATTTTCCTTTTTTCTTTGTATGTTCTTTTTAATCATACATCCTTATTATTCATTTCAAATTATAAAATGTGAGCAACTTAACAATAACACCCTTAAAAACAAAGTATTATCAGTATTTTTCCATCAGTCAGAAAAAAAGCACACTAAAGTCTCAACATTAACTGACTCTTCAAACTGCAATATCTCCCTTGTTGATCGTGCACTTATCTGATACACTGATGTCTTCATTTAACGACTGAAATGAAAAAAACAACAGATGTCACCGAGCAGACATGGAGAGACAACTGTGATTCATTGTTTCATAGAGTGTGGCAGGGATCAGGAAATGGATTTGAAACGCACACACATCCAAGACATTTGCATATTTTTGTTCGAAGAAAAAGAACAAAGAACAATGGAAAATATATACCACAGTATACTCAATAGGCTACCTGAAATTATAAATCCAAGCAAACGATGGAAATGTAGGCCTATACATTATTTGTCTAATGTTACTGTCATGCTAACAAAAAACATTTCTTACCAGATTTCATGGCTATAACTTTAATCATGTGTAATGCTGTACAATAACCCAACAATGTTATGGTTTGTAAAGCCACACCACTCACAATATATTCAGGATATGGCAACAGTTTATCAAAGGCCTTTAAACGTCATTATTTTTATTTAATCGACATTGCAATCGCGATATGACCCTCTGCGATTATCAGTTCTATTATCTATGTTATCACCCCAAATGGAAGCGATTTAATTAACTAAAAAATGTGCGTTTGCGAATCTGCGAATAAGAAAAATCTATAATTTGTGTGCGCAGTCTAATTATTAGGCACGCACATGCTGCAGAGCCGACCAATCAGGCTCAGTGAAGCATCTGCCTTGTTTGGTCACATGACTGAGGAACGGATGCTAATGCTATATGAACACGCAACCTGTTGCATGCATGCATGGATGTATAATAAGAGGTTGCATGGCGATACTTTGGCTGTAAATTAAGCTACAGTGAAGTTTTCTATTAAAAACGTAAACAACAGTTGCTACATCATCCGGCAACACGACGTAAATGTACCAGCACCTTAAACGACACAGAGAAAAATACAAAGAATGCACGGCGGCAGCGAAAGTTACGAAAAAATAAAGACACAGCTACAGGTTAGCTTGCTAGCTAAGTGTAACGCAGCGGCCGTCCACACGGCGGCGTCTGAAGATCGACCAACAACCAATCACATTCATCTCCCGCCCCCGGACACTTGCGTGGACGCTGCGTACGTCATGTCTTCACGGTGATGTGTTGTTAGAACTGAGTGAGGTGCGTCTGTAGCTATCAGAGCTAACTTAGCTAATCACTAGTACAGCATCCAGTGTTTTGTACATTTACTTCACCTTTTCTTGTTTAAGATAACTATATGTAATCTTTCAATTTCACATTGTAATGATTAATGTTCTGTACACACACATTATTTGTCAAATAGTAAGTAATTAAAATAGTCATTTACAATTTATTTGTATGTTACAGTAGGCATACATGTAATATGATACTAAGTTTATATGTATGAATTTAGAAATACACATTTTAAAATTATGAAGTAGTCTGCATTTTCCTTTCGCTAACTAAGCAAGTATACCATTTGTTCACTCGGGTTAGGTTTTTCATGTAATGTTGTCAAACAGTAAGTAATTAAAACAATAATTTACACTTAGTTAAAATACTAAGTTTGTATGACTTTAGAAATACACATTCTAAAAGGATCAGTAGTCTGCATTTTCCTTTCCATAACTAAGCAAGTATACCTATGATACCATTTGTTTTATTATATTGCAAATCGCAATAGTGCCAACAATAATCACAATATGACTTTTTTACCAAATAATGCAGCCCTAGTGTGATCCCCTGTGTTTCCATCAACGGTCTTGTTTGTCCTTGAAGAAGACCCGGAGCTAATTAGACGATGCTCTGAAAAAGATTGCCAGTTTAATGAATACAATCCTAATCTGACCTGAAATTAAATGTGGCAGTATGCTCTGAATGGATATTAGTTTTCAGAAAATCAACAGCTTAAAGTGCAGCTGCATACAAATGAGTGTTCAGAAGCAACTATTAGAGGCCAAAAAAACTCAGAGTGCAATTGTCTTTTTAATCCATGAAAGAAGGGAAAACATGTCACAGTATGTGAAACATCTCACTCAAACATGTCCTTTCTGTTTTGCAGCCTCTGGACTTCGAGAGGAAGCGACAGTACAGTCTCCGTATTCAGGTGGAAAATTCCCACCTCAACCCTCGCTTCTTCTCCGTGGGCCCCTTCAGGGATGAGGCGACCATTAAGATCGTGGTGGAGGATGTAGACGAGCCGCCCATGTTTGAGCGAGCCAGCTACGTCATGGAGGTCAAAGAGGACATGGCCAGGAACACCACCATCGGCTCCGTCAGCGCATCTGACCCCGACGACAAAAACAGTCTCGTCAGGTACAGAAGCACACACATCTTAAAGGAACAATATCAGTGTTTGGCATGTTACGATTGTACTTAAATCATCATTATCCAATGAAAAATATGTGGCTAAAAGTCCAGATTGAAGCTACTAGGTGAATAAGAGAAAGGGCAGTCATTATAATACTATTTTATATTTTGGACGTTTATCCCCATTGTTGATCAACAGGGATGTGATTGGTTGAAGTGAGCCAATCACATGTCTTTAATAGGTGGTTAAAGACAGATGATTTGGATACAAAACTGGCAAGTATGTGTTTTTAAAGTTCCTTCCCTTTTCCAGTTTGCATTACTGCTAAGATGTTTTTTTTGTATCAAACTATCTGATTTGGCTTTAGGGTAAAAAGTAGATCTTCTCCCTTAGATTTCTTTCAACATAACGATTGCATTAAAAACGTAATGAGGCCTTGGTAGGGGATGCATTGTTAACCGGAAAAGGGACAGAATATCACCCGCACTACTTGCTTCATGGAGATCCCAAATTATGCAGGCATTCTATTAAATGGGAGTAATGGCAGTGGGGTGTAAGGCTGCGTCTTCCACTCTGTCTCAAAGACGTTTTCATTTTTATGATGCACTAAGGGAGTTGGCTCTCAAGGTTGAAGTTCCAACACTTTATTGCAGGTGTCAAATATGATATCATTCTCTTTTATCGCCGATCATCAAGGAGGTAGCTACCCCGTGGCATTTAAAGGTGCGCAGTGGAGGAGGCTAGGCGGCCTGGGGGCTGCCTGGCATCAGGAAGTCACTGAGACGCTTATCTTTATTAGCTTGCCACAACACTTGCAGACACCAGCACATTGAGGCATGGACTTTTAACACAATTCCCTCAGTAACCATACAGTAGGTGTCTGCATGCATGAACATTGTGATGTGATCCACTTGAAGGTCCGAAAGGATCATAATGGCCTATTTCTTAACGTAAGCTATTCAGTCAGTGTCATCCCATCATGGAAACTCATTACTGATGTTCAAGTTCCTAAAACATGATCAATATTCAAGGTTTTGAAACGTAAAATGGAAATTCACACAAACAGGAATGTTTTTTGAATATTATACATAAGTAGGAAAGATAAGCCAGAGTTTTAAAAAGCTGTCATCTCTTGAACATTTTTTAATTTCCCTGGAAGTCAATGAAGCGTCTAAGTCCTGCAATATTATAATGTGTTCCTGTCTTTGGCTTATCAAGAGGACACTTTGAAAAAAATGTTTAGAGAATTTAACATGAAAATGTATTTAAGTATATTCTGCCTATTGAGGTTTAGAAATATTAACTGACACCATGGTCATACACAAACATGTATGGTTGGTCATTTCATTTTTTTTGTTGCTGAAATTCAGCTTCATTCATTACCTTGAATACAGTTATTGGAGAATAGAAACTACTCTGGAGCTTTCAAATGTGATTCAACAGCATTCTACAAGGAAGATATTTAAAGTGCTCGTACATTATTTGTGAGATAGTTGGTTAATGGACCTTGGGGTGAGATTGTGTTTCCAGGTTTTCTGGTGGTCTTGGTTTCATGTAACCACTTTTCCATATCCTTTACATAAACCTATTTTGAAATGTATCTTAAAGTACTTGCTTTACATAGAAATGTATTGATTTAAAAGTTGTTGAAACAACCATCTTACAACCTTAACAACTTTCATCTAAATATAGCCCGGTTCAAACTCCTAACCTGCAAATCCCCAAATCAATACTTCTGCCGGTTCCTGCTGATTTGTTCTTGAAAAGTCTCCTTCTGAAAACACTGTGGCGTGCCAGCCGCTCGTGTAGCTTGTGTAGGGAGGAAAGAGGATATATGTCCCAACACGCTGATCACTAACATTTCTGTAACACTCCATGTCCTTCTGCCTGGCCTCCCGTCCCGCCAGCTGCCTGCCTGCTGAGAGCAGCACTTTGGATGTCCGGTCAGGACGAGGCGCGCTGTTATCTCTCCGTCATTAATCAGGGGACGGGGTGAGGCTCAGCCAGCTGAATTATTGGGAATATTAGAAAAGCAATTAGTAAAGCCCACGGCCGACGCACATTTAACGAGGTTAGAGTTACTGCCGGGGCCGACGAGGTGGTAGGAGAGGCAGGAGGAGACGAGGAGGGAGGGTTTAGACAAAGACAGTACAAATGCTTGATGCAGGAGGAGAAGCTGGGGGGAGGGGCTATAGGAGGGTAGAGAGGGTGGGAGGAACTGTCGAAAAGGGAGTGCGGTGGTGCATTGAGAGCACCGGTTCATCGTCTCCCCTTGGGGGTCTCCTCCCTCTTACGCTGGCCCTCCTGATGCCTGCTACTCCATTAATCACACTGATGTATCACAGTAGTCTGGGAAGCAGAGAAAAACAACACGACTGGATAACCTGTTGGCTGTGTGAGTGTGTATGTGTGGGGGTGGATGGGTGTGTGTGGGTGTGGAGGGGGCTGGCTGCTAACATTTATCTGTCATCAGGACTGTTAGCCCCCTTGACAGTATACCTTATGTTAAAGTCAACTCACCTCAACCTTCCCTGTAGTTCTAACCAGTGATTCTGTTAGTTTGTATTCGTATGTAAGCTCAAGACAATTCTTTTGAATACATTTGAATTCACAGAAATCAAGGGAAAGAACTCAAGTTATTAATTGTGCAAATTGCAGTCACTAAAAAATTACTTAAAGTCGGTTGTTACAAAAATAATTATGCAAATCTCTCTGTAAATATAACTGAGTATACAGGTGGGGTAGAGAGACCACATCATCTGTATCCCCACAACCAACAGCAGAAAAACAGAAGGGATGCCATATGTTGTATTGTCTAATCTAATATCGTTTTTTGTTGCAACAGACATACAGATGCAGCTAAAAACCTTCTTAGCTTCATTTTGATGTACAGGTTGCAGTAGTTGAAAAAGTAAAATCCAACGACCACACCAGGCTTTTGTCCTTTTTATATAGCAATATATTTTCAATTATTGCTAGTAAACAAAACAACTTATAGGAAGTAACCACATCCAGCCAAGAACTACAGGTTTAAGCTCCATTTTGATGTGTAGGCGATTTAAAGACAGAATTCAGCTAGGAATGGATCAGCTGACGGCCCGCTGTGAGCTGGCTCGATGGGGGGCCGTGAGCGACTAAAGGGAATAGCGATCCCTCCTTGATAATATGTGCTAAATGAGACGACTAGTTAGTAAATGTCTTGCTGTTTCAAGCAGAATGGATATTTCTCCTCTTGTGGACATGTCATGGGGTGACATTTGTAAAGCTCAGAAGCAACTTCTCCTTCTAGGAACCATACCCTGGTAAATCTGGATAAGACCTCTATACAATATTAATGGAAAAGTCCATTTAAGCCCTGGAGACAATAAGGCCGTTGGATTATCCCGAGTGGTTTCTGTAAAAGGATACAGCTGGTGAGTTTGTGTGTATGTTGAGAAGCTCTCGTTTGTGTGCACTTGTGTGGCAGCAGATGTTCCAGAGGCGTTTATACCCAAAGTTGTGGACGCAAACCTGCAACTAACTGCGTGGTTAGATAACACAAAGCGTAAAGAGAAAATGTGTGTTTTTTGTGATATATTTTAAAGTGACCCTTTAACAGCTTGAGAATGTATAGAAGCGATGTATTACCTCCTGTCGTTCTTTTTTTTTATTGCAGGTGAAACCATTTTGTTCCTTTCAACAAAGTTCCTTTGAGGACAAACGCTGCCTTGGATTTATGCTAAAACTAATCTTTTTCTTAATGCGTTCTTTTGTGGTATGAATTGCAAAGAAAGGCAATAATGGCAGAGTGCAGACATGCAGACAGTCCATCATGCTTAGTCAGACTTGTTTTGAGTACCTCCTGCGTGCTGAAACTCCTCTTACCTCACAAAATGTCAGTTTAACAAAGACTCTTCCGTAAATGTGACCGTTTTCACTCCGGTTCACACCTGAGAAACTCTAAACTCCACACAGCCTGAGCGCGCGGGTTTAAAAGGCGATCTCTGTGTGTTTTTGAGCAGGTACTCTATTGATCGACGCACGGACATGGACAGAATGTTCAACGTCCATGCAGGGAACGGGTCAGTGTTCATCCTCCGGGAGCTGGACAGAGAAGAGAACGCCTGGCACAACATCTCCGTCATCGCCACAGAGTTCAGTAAGTGTAAAAGCTTTCTCTTCACCTGCTTCCTGTCCATAACATTTTATTTTTGGAATTTATATTAGTCCCTAAAAGCACTCAAAAGACGTGAACTCTCAAAACATGGCCTGGGCCTTTTATTTTAAACAATTCTATTCAAGACAGGCTTTTATCTTAATGTTCCCTGTTATAAAATATTATAAATGACTCATATAATGTCCACAGCTTTATGTCCATAAGTACAACAACAAAGTAACATCGTACTCACCATCTCCTGCTCTGAGTTTTTTCTTTCTTTTTAAACTAATTAAAGATTACTAATTAAATCCACTTGCCTTTTCTTAGTGTTTTAATTAAACAGCGCTTCCTGCAGCTGCACACTAAAGCCCTATATGGTTGGGAAGCCAACCCATTTCCTTCCTTCAATGGAGTAGTACAGTGTATGTGTGGCATTTATGGTCCTGGGGGCCTGTAAGCATCTCAAGACATCCTGAAATGTTTCAATCTACCAGGCATATGTTTTATCTATATTCTATCTCTAACTGCACAGCGATGAGCGCTTCCATTCAGCTCTGACCGCCCCCCAGCTGAGTGGTCTCTATATCCATCTCGCTATAAGGCCTCCTGGTAGACCTCACCTTAAACAGCTACAACCCAAATAGAAAACAAATCTGGCAACACATATATATTTTCCAGGAATACTTTTTTTTAATTCGCAGAACATCATTTACCTTCCGTAACCAAACTGCACCCGATACACTCAAAATGTTTTTTGTTTTTTTTCAGCTCAACTATAAAAAGCCCCTATTTTTGTCAATATAAAGAGGAATTCTTAATTTTTCTGTACTTAATTTTGGATCCATAAAATCTTTACCTCGCCCCCTATATGAGTATGTTTCAGTTTACGATTGATTATTTAAAAGAAAACGCCAACATGGAAAGTGACTTGATAATGTCCTTGAACTGTGGAAGGACTTCTAATGTGTTCCGATGTTATTCGTAAAAAGATTGATATGAGAACTACACCCTGCATGTCACATTGGTACAATAATATTGAGCTTTTATTTGAATAATTTCCTTGCCACTCGAGTGTAACTATGCAAACGAAAAAGGCACATAAACTCAAGGCAGAAGTTTGCTGGGTACGAGATGTTCTTTGATTTGGACATTCTCTATATTGTGCTGAATGTTTTATGTAAGCTATTATAGTATGGGTTATACAACATACTCACTTTTATATTGACTGACCTTCAACTATTCAGAATTTTAAAACTGGCTTCCTCTGAGCATTTACAGTTGTCCCTGTTCGGCTCAACACTAAATTAGAAGTACCTGTAGAAAATAATCAAGAGATATATTACACCTTTATTTTCTCATAATATAAAGTCAATGGCATGTCAAACATTACTTGTAAAATATCACAATTACATTCTGTATCACTGTGTGCATGCAAACGGGAAAACATCTACACTTCTACTATAAAGGTAAAGAAATAATGATTTGTGTACATTAACAATTCCCACCTGTGTGTTCCCTAGACAACCCTCGCCAGATCAGCCGTGTGCCCGTTTACATCCGAGTGCTGGACGTCAACGACAACGCTCCAACATTCGCCACCATCTACGAGACGTTTGTGTGTGAGAACGCTAAGGCTAATCAGGTACAAAGCAGTCGTCATAGTTTCATCATGACTTCTCCTCAAGGATTATGAGTCCTCTTCCAGTTCACCGTGCAATTAGCGCATCTCAGAGAGTATCTGTAAAAACTGTCACGTGTGATTTAAGCTAGACGAAGATGGGTGGGATATCTGATACACGAGGAGCATTAAGCTCACATCTCACGTTGATGAATGCACGTTTCCAAAGAGGGATTAAATAGTCCCATCTGCAGTGGTGAAAATAAGTTCAAAAGGATACGGCTGCATGATAAGCTATTTTCATGTTAAATGTAATACTCACATTCTAATCAACCACTTTTGTTGGGTATTCAACATGCAGCGACAAAATCCATTTGATACATCAGTGTTTCCAGCTGTGTTCCTTTCACTGATAATTGAGCAATTTAATACTTTAATACTATTCTGCTCCCATACCTGACATTTAAAGGTGGGGTAGGTAAGTTTCAGAAACCAGCTCGAGATACACTTTTTGTTATATTGCATGGAATGCTCTTAACATCCTGATAGCAATGAATATCTTAAAATAAAAATCCATTAAAAAAATGTCATCTGTGGAAGCCGTAGTTCTGTAAAAAGCACGACCAATCATCTGAGCCGGCCCGGCTAAAATAACTGGATGGCCTACCTGCCTGTCAGCCTTCCATCTGTGCACAAATTTATCTCATGCCCTCATTGGTCATGTGCGCGTTCGTGTGTGTTGGAGGAGGGGCTCTTTAAGGAAGTGGCAGATTTTTTCCGACTTCTAGTGCACTCGAGCTGCTTTCTCCAAAATGACCTACCCCACCTTTAAGGTATGAATCCCGTTTCTTATTTCAGAGGATACAAACCGTGAGCGCCACAGATCCTGACGATCCACTCGGAGGACACCGGTTCTTCTTCAGTCTCGCCCAGGAGGCTGCTGGGAAGGCCAACTTCTCTGTCCGTGATAACAAAGGTAACTCACTCTCAGATCATGCTTCTGGTCTTCACATTCACTTCACTCCACCGCATAATGCTTCCATAAGGCACTCATACCTAACCACATTGAGTGCCGTACTGCACATGATGTGATTTATAGTTTTTCATCCAAGAGCAATTTCAAGCACATTCACAGAACAAATTCAATGTTGAGTAGAGTTTATTGAAGTATTCATTTAGGTTATTGATGTCTGCATAGTAACCGGACATCCTGTTGTTTTCAGACAACACGGCCTGGATCCTAACGCGAAGGAACAGCTACAACAGTCTTCAGATGAGCATCTACCACGTGCCTGTGGTCATTTCCGACGGGGTGTTCCCCATGCAGAGCAGCACCAACACGCTGACCGTCAGAGTGTGCTCCTGCGACCGCGAGGGCAACATGAAGCTGTGCAACGCCGAGGCGCTCACAGCCAGGGCGGGCCTCAGCACGGGAGCCCTGGTGGCCATCTTGCTCTGCGTCATCATTCTGCTCAGTGAGTACACACGCTTGCAAACATTTGAGCTTAAATGTACCCTTGGTGGCTTCACTGAAAATAAGATTTGAGTTTCTTTTAACTACAGTAAACACGTTTCTACTCTTTTAGTTGAAATATTTACGTAAAACTATTTAGACATTTTGCCGTTATTTCAACACGCTATAATATTACTTACTTTTACTGGTGACGACACTGTACCACGCCTGGCTTCAACGCAGTATTCTCACATACAATACCATGTTTTTATTTAGAATTTTTTTCAACATACTTATGCAAAAAAAGACGGTGGTATTTTATGTGGGAATAAGGCACGTTATATAGTGTGTCAAACCCAGGCGTGGTACAGTATGACAGAAAAGACATATAGCTTCTTTTCGACCAGAGCCCTATAAAGAGAGTTGCGTCAACGGAAGTCCATTCACTGAGACTCAGATGGTTTTGGGGGCGAGTGAACGGAGATGACGCAGCTCTCTCTTTATACGGCTCTGATTTCGACATACTATACTTTTGCTTAAAAAAAACATTCTGCATATTTTTTAACATATTATTATGAATTGTTTGGCAAACTATGTCCTTTCATAAAACGTTTAATAACATACTAAACTCTCATTTTTCTGACATTTAAAACACATTCACACAATTTATTGTGTTTTCTTAAACTGCCTTCTTTGTGAAAGTATGCAGCTTTGGCCCTGAGGAGGCAACATACATAATGTATCCTTGTGGTAGCCGAGCCTGTTTTTACAAAGTCAGACAAAGTCCCTGAACATCAATGAACACTCATGCAACATCAACAATTCCCCCTGGACAGTCACTGGCCTTCAGAACAAGGCGGGGGGAGCAAAGCAACAACAGCAAAAGTCACCAAAGTCTGACGCTTGTTCTCTCTTTGTTTGTTGTCCCTGTAGTGATCGTGGTGCTGTTTGCTGCCCTGAGGAGACAGAGGAAGAAGGAGCCTCTGATCATCTCCAAAGAGGATGTCAGAGACAACGTTGTCAGCTACAACGATGAAGGGGGCGGAGAGGAGGACACTCAGGCCTTTGATATCGGCACACTGCGCAACCCAGAGGCCATCGAAGAGACCAAGCAGCGGAGGGACATTGTCCCCGAGACCTTCTTCCCCCCGGTCCGACGGCCCGTGCTGCCCCCGATCCGGGACCACAACGGGGACGTGAGAGACTTCATCAACCAGAGGCTGCAGGACAACGACAGCGACCCCACGGCGCCGCCCTACGACTCCTTGGCCACCTACGCCTACGAAGGGACCGGCTCCGTGGCCGAGTCCCTCAGCTCCCTGGAGTCGGTGACCACCGACGGAGACCAGGACTACAACTACCTGAGCGAGTGGGGCCCCCGCTTTAAGAAACTGGCAGACATGTACGGGGGCGACGACAGCGACAGGGATTCCTAACGAGAGCCTGGCACAAAGACAAGGAGAGAAAAATGTCAATGAAACACACATTTTAAACTTTCGGGCAGTTCTGGTGCATGTGTGGCGATAAAAATGGCAAAAAGGACCAAGAAACGCGCACCGTTTGTCCACGTGTCGTCTCAACGCCACCGCTCACCTTTCAGTTGTCTCCGGTGACCAGACGTAGGCTTTGTGTGTCCAGTCAGTGTTAGTTGCGTTTTGCCTGGGTGAAGTGAAAAGAGACTTTGTGTCAAGACATTTTCTGTGTGTAAGGGTGTACATGACGCCCAAATATATCTATACCAATATTTTCTTTTTCGTTTGTTTTTCAAAGCTGCGTGTGATGGACACTTTCAACAAGCAGTTTTGTAAACCCTACAAATATGCCTATGTATTTTTCAGTGTTTCTGGGACAAAAACATGCTGCATATTGTGAGTTCTATCTTAGCTCGTGTATGTACGGTAATACGATACGCTGTAAAGTTGTTTTTTTTTTAAAGGGATTTCTATTGTCCAAAAGATCCCTTCTTTAAGCGATGGCATCCACAGCTCAGCTTGAGCAGGAAGTGCCGCACAATCGTCCTCTCTGAGAATCCAGATACAGATTGGAGGGATGAATTTTCAAATAGTGTTGTGGAACATTGCTGTTGACAAGTGGCTAATAAAGCATACCTGAAGCTGGTAAATGTGGAATTTATGGCAACAACATACAAAAACCATAATTTGTGATTATCATCTCCACACAGCTGTAAACAATATGCTGTAAGGTGAGCCAAATACCAAATATTACCTTGAGCTGAATGTCTTGATTTTTCCAGTTCACCCAACAGGCTGAAAAATAAATAAAAAACAGTGTTCAATTCTGAGATAAACTGATAACCAATCTAAGAAACACGAGGCTCAGTTCGAGGGAAATGCTGGTCTGATTCACTCAGTACAGCATGGTGTAAATCTAAAAGTCACATGCGCTGTTATGATGCAACATCCTGTGACCATTAAAACAATTCACTCAATGTTATTTTCGTATCCGTACGTGTGATGAAGAAACACGGCGAGATTTGACTTCATGTACCAAGCTGGAAGAATGATATTTCAATTAGAAATTCATACAAAAAAATAAATCATGTGTTTAAATGTAAACTGTCCATATGTAAAGCTTTTATACTTCATTTGAGAAAGTATAAACGGATGAAATTGATCAAAAGAAATGCCTTAAATTATAAAAGTAAAACTACGCAATGAGAAGTGGCCTAAAATGTTGATTACCCTTTTGTGGGTGGTCGGATTATAATAAGTCTAAAAAACAAACCTACAGCATAAAGCAAGGGTTTTTCTGATAAAGGTGTTGTGTGTAGAGGAGGCTCCGCCCACAGTCGAATGTATACAAATGTAACATAGCAGTTTTTGGAGATGTGCCAAAAAGCAAAGAGCACCAGTATTTTCCTTTTAAAATGACTCCTAATCATGTTCACCGCCCTTCATTACATGTACTGTGTGTAGTGTTGAACATGGAGCTCTCCCAGCTGATTTCCTGAGGGACGGACAGCCTCTCCTGTCGGGCCACTGACCCAGAGCGGTGTCCTCTGGAGAAGGTCAAACCGTTATCCTGCAGCGGGAACACACAACAGTTTAGCTTTTAATGTCAAAACAGAACCATTTTTTAATCACTATTACTTCAAGAATTAAACAGTAATGAAATGTATTTCATTACTGGAGGCTTGGAGGGTAAAATAATAAAAGCTATAACAAGCTTTGCCCTCACTTTAGCAAAAGGCCTACATGGGAGGAGGCAAAACATGTAATAACAAAACATAATGGTGTAATTTTTCACAGTCTGTACTCCAAAAGAGGCTTTCCAGAGCAACACATTTAACAATGTAATTGACAGTGGTTGGACAATTCTTTACGCTCTGCTATTGTATACAAGCACTCGTTTTTACGCCCCCTTGTTTTTGTTTATTAGCTTGTTGCTGTGGCTCCCATTATAAGTGGCCATTTCAGACTGCGGCAGTGTTGCTGTGATAAGCATTTAATGGGGTTAGAAACCCTTCACTCTAAGGAATCTGCTTCTCTGCCTCAAGGTACAATGCGAGGTCTCAAATGGACATCAACGTGACAGCAAGCACTCCACAAAAGCATTTGTTTCCCTTCACTATTTTCTGTCTCCATACAGGGTGTCAGCATATCGCCATTACAAAGACGTGCTTGTGTTTTCCTATGGAGAGTATAATTGCCTCCAAGCATTGGCGCCATGCTCAGCTAAGATAACGGAACGTGTTGCACATTTGAACGTACCGCCATTTATGTTCTTTCTTTAAAGTTGAGATGGTGATGTCCTCTTTCTCCAGATGCGGTAGATCTGTGGTTGTTGATGTGTAGACTCGGGCTCACCTCTACAACGGTATACTGTGTTGTTGACAATGTGATTGAGCAGTGGAGTTTTGTCAATGTAGAAACAGTTTGAGAGGTCGTGGTAGTGTAAGGGCCCTTCATCATTGGCCATTCATCAATCTGCTTTGTAAAACGTGATATTTTGTACTGAATATTTATATGACACGATTAAATATCTTTAAAATCAGCTTCTCTGTTGTCTTTGTGAGGTATTCTTCTGAAAAACATACATGAATGGACACTTTGAAAGGTTTGTTCTTCTGGTTATGAAGGATAATTTCACTTTTATCTGAATGATGTTAGCGGCCACAGGCTAGCAAGCAAGAGATGTACCGTCCTCACAGGTACGTATATATTACCTACAATAAATCTGAGTATAATAATGGCGCATTTCCACTGCAGCGGATAGTAAAAACCATGAATTAATGCTTTGATAAGTCTGCAGACAAGACAACAGGCGAAAAACCTTTTAAAATGTGTGTTTTCTGAATGGAGATCGGCTAAACTAACGGTGTATATGCGCCGACCGTCCACAGACATACATAAACCAGCGACTGTATTCACCATGACACAGACAGTCTGTGGTTTGTACTTGTCCAACTTTTGTCTAGTTTCTGAACAGATATGAGGAGCTGTGAGCTCTGAGTGCTAACAGCTAACGGCTGATGTTGATTTTGTGTTTCACATTGAAGATGACGTCACGGCTCCGCCTACACTGCGTTACTATAGTTACTGCCCCAGCTACTAAACTGTAATTGAAAGGCAAGGCAAGGCAAGTTTATTTATATAGCACTTTTCAACACAAGGCAATTCAAAGTGCTTTACAAAAAATGAAAGAGATTAAGAAAATGGCATTTAAAATCAGTCATTAAAAAGAAAAGCTAATAAAATAAACATTAAAAGAAAAAATACATGGATAAAAGTTACAGTGCAGTCTAAGATATGAATAGTTCAATTAAAAGCAGCGACAAAAAGAAAAGTCTTCAGCCTGGATTTAAAAGTAGTCAGAGTTGCAGCAGACCTGCAGGTTTCTGGGAGTTTGTTCCAGATATTTGGAGCATAATAACTGAACGCTGCTTTACCATGTTTAGTTCTGACTCTGGGGACAGAAAGCTGACCAGTCCCTGAAGACCTGAGAGATCTGGATGGTTCATAATTTAGCAGGAGGTCAGAAATGTATTTTGGGCCTAAACCATTCAGTGCTTTATAAACCAGCAGCAGTATTTTGAAATATATTCTTTGACACACAGGAAGCCAGTGTAAAGACTTCAGAACAGGAGTGATGTGATCCACTTTCTTAGTGTTAGTGAGGACTCGAGCAGCGTCGTTCTGAATCAGCTGCAGCTTCCTAATAGATTTTTTAGTGAGACCTGTGAAGACACCATTGCAGTAGTCGAGTCTACTGAAGATTAAAGCATGGACAAGTTTTTCCAAATCCTGCTGTGACATTAGTCTTTTAATCCTAGATATATTCTTTAGGTGATAGTAGGCTGAAACGCAGCATAAAGTGGGCCTGGCCTACCAAGGCCTAACTATACCGTGCGAGGCCCTGCAGTGGACATGCGCCATAAGAGACTGACACGTCAGATGGTAATGAAGGCCTGTTAAAGAGCTGGATCCAGAGGCTACTGAGCTGAGGAAATTGTTAATTAGACAATCTATAATTAAGATCTGTCAGACAGCCAATCGGATTTGGAAAGAGGTTTAAAAAGAAAGGGGGGAGAAAAAAATCAGATTTGGATTATTAGTGGATGAGTGACAGATGCAGGACAGATGGTTGTCGAGGAAACATTTTGCTTAGGTACTATAGCCTTTGACCCAGCTCATCAGCCATTACTCTTCCTGCCTGTTGGTGTCAGCTGATGGAGGAGTTACAATTACAGTTGTCATGCAGAATGTTGATTATTCTCTCAGAGCTAGCTAAATACATGGGACTGGGGGGAGAGATCTTCAGTTTGCCATCAAGTTCCAGCTCTTCCGTGTTTCATTGTGTTCGACTCCGTGCTCCAGAAGCTTCCTTCAAAATGGGATCAATGTGCTGATTGAACACATAGGGTGTTTCTCAATGTCGAGGAAAGCTGCTCCAGAGCCACTATTTCAAGAATGCTATGTCATCGAGTCCCGCCGAAGGACTGTTCCAATGTCCAGGATCCTTGGAATTCTACCGAGGCCGGCGTACTTCGTTGCGGGAAATTTCGAGGCTGCACATGTGTATCCTCCGCGGTCTTAAAATCCCCACAATGCTTTGTGCACGAACACATTTCCCAACTCTTTGGCGGAAATCGCACTCCATTTAAGGCGGGGCCTCGCATATGACGCACACCTGTTCCACCATTCTTCATTTTCCGAGGCTCGGAAGGATTCTTGCCTCGCTTCTGAAAGACCTGACTCGGAGGGACCAAGTCCTACCAAGGAAGCGTCCTCGACATTGAGAAACACACAGACTAAACCCTTTTTCTGTTGGGTCTCTAAGCAAGCGGATACAAAAAAAGAAGCAAACCGACTATCCACTGTTGATCTGAAACTTTATTTACAATATTTCATGGTTTATTTAGCATTACATACTTTATTTAAAAACGTGTCAGCTTTTTCTCTCCATTTGTTAGTAACATTGTGAGCCTCTCAACAAAGTAATCTCAATATTTAAAGGTGACAAACATGAACATAAGACAACATAAGGCCACCTTTCACACACCTACAGTACTAAACGGCATACAACAGGAAAGGGTCTTGCTTCATTTCTAATGCCGTTTGCCTTCTGTTCCACTTTAAGAGAATCCTGGACGAGTTCCCCTTAAATCTCCAGGTTAAGAGTCGAAGGTACTCCTCACCTGAGTCCCATCGGTGTTGGTGGAGAACTTAGGAAACAGTCCATCATCATTACCAAACTATCAAGGCTGCCTTTTGCCAGCTCTTGCCTGGACGGCAGCCACATCTGCACTCAGAGCTCCTTAATGTGGATGCCGCTCCTGATTGGCTCTCAGAACAAGATGCTGTCACTTCCTGCTCTCCTCCGGCTCGTCGCTCTCCTTTTCCTTCTCCTTCTCCTGCCGCTCCCGCTCTCGTCTCATATCTTTCAGCTCCTGTCTGTATTTCCGCTCGATGAAGCGCTTCTGATGAGCCATCTGTGGGAAGTTATCTGGAGCAGGAGAGGCAGAGCGGGAAACAGAGAGGAGTCGACCAAGGAGAACAGATAGAGAGGGGGAGAGAGGGGTGAGAAGAGACAAGGTCAGTCCGACAGTTTAGGCTCAGATTGCACACACAATAGTTTTCATAAGCGAGTGTCATGTTGTCACCGTGGCCAAATGAGCCAAAATGTTGCCGGCAGTATTGCGGTTAAATTGCCCTCATGTTGTGATTTCATTAATAATGATAATGTAACAAGAAATTAGACAAGCCTTGTTTGGTTTCAACACAATGACTGGGAGATCTGATAACATAATTACAAGTGAACATTTCTAAATGAGATCTGTAATAAGATGGTGTAGGGTGGCAGCAGAGCACATACGCTGATGGGGTGTTAACCTATAGGCAGACACTAATAACTTATTCCTGCAGTTAGATTAGATTATTTATAAATGTTTTAATGGTTTCATGACTTGAAAACCCTGTTTCCTTTAGGGTTTTCTGCCTAATGCCAATATGGCTGAAGTAAAACTATCCCAATCTGGGCCAATACGGGGGGGGGGGGGGTCGGTGTTGAGGGGGGGCTTCACATGTGTAGCAATGGCTATGTTGTTATGAGACAGGATAGGACTGCTGTCGGTAAAGGAAACTGAGTCACTACCTCAACTCTCAATCCAGACATACGTTGGGATATTAATCACATGTTTGCCTGTGGCCAAAAGATCACTTTCAAGAAAAAGTGATTGTTTGGTGTAAACATTTTAGGAAATAGTGAAAATTAAGAATCCAAAAATCCAATCTGACTTATTAAAACTGCTTTTTTGGTCTAGCCAAGAGTCCATAACTAAAATAAGTATTAAACTTAAAAACAAATTAAAATATATGATACTCTTAAGAGTAAGAGGAAGCAGACTTTTTCTTTTGTATTTTAACTTTGAAAATGGCAGAGACAGTTTTCCTTTATCCGAATTGTAAATCAATGGATCAACTAGCTGCAACTTACATCTTGGAGTTATTATGACTAATTATTATTGTTTGATTATTTCTTCAATCGATCTACTCTTTTATAATGCTGTGTAATATATAAAATAGTGGAACATCACAAGTTCTGAGGGTCCAAGAGAACATCTTTAAACATATAAAGCCCAATACATTACAATGTTAAAATGGAGAAGAGCAACTTCTTTGAAGAAGTTAAGAAGTTTTTATAATAGTTTTTTTTATCAGAAGAGTTATTTAGGAGAATTTCACTTCCCCTGGAGGAACATAGCTTCAGTGTTAGTAAAACATTGACCCAATTTGGAGGTACCTGGGTTTAACAGAAAAGCTTTATTTCCCAGCTCTGACAGAGTTCACCCCACTGACCTGTTTGGGATTCTGTTATTCAGAGCCGAGGTAATTTTCCGTTTAGTGTTTATTACCGTGTCTCTCCAGCGCACACTTCAATTTAAAACAGCACGCCTGACAGAGACCCGGTGGTTTGTGTCAACTCGCTGAGTCACAAATTTGACTGTGCACTTTTTCCGGTCACTGACCATGACCGTGCAGACCTAAACAAATTAAAATCCGTCTTTCAATACTTTTTCCTCCCACAGAAGTTTTAAAGTCGATCTGTGATGGAAAATGGAGAGGACCCACAAGGATTCTCATTCTGGCCTTTCTGTGACGGCTTTATTACACACTGTGTACTTCGGAAGAGTTTCAACAGCTGCATATTTTTAGTATTTTGCTCTGTACCTTGCTACGTTTAGTTTGAAGTAAGAGGGGAGGTAATCGAGTAGTTAGACACAACAAATGGAGCTCTTTTTAGACACCAAATTAGAAAAAAACATTAGTAACTGATCATTATTTAATGCAAATTCTGACAAATGCCTATCCCTTTTTATAAAAAACATTCCTCATATAGATTTAAACATCCTTAAAGCTATGAGTCAGCACTTTAAAATCCAATGTCCTGCAGTACTGAGCCAGAACAACAGAAAACGTGTCGCAGTCTAAATACTGTAGATAGTGTATATTACCCTCCGATAAATGGGCAAATTTAATTAGGACTATTGTCCA